TACCACCTCCCCTCACTCTCCATCACACTGCCTGAGGCCTGTAAAGTCACTTTAATGAAGATTGGTTGCTATGATGAGACACATGGACACGCCTCCTTCTTCTCCATGTGTCCGGGAAACGGTGCAGGGTCGTCACGTGGTTAGAGAGCTGTTGCGCACGCACAGGTCTTAGGGGGAATGCGGCGGCGAGAAATCACGTGACGTAGAGGAATTTAGATCGACCTACGCATGCGTATGGTCTGTTGCCGAAACGCGTGGTCACGTGTTGGGGGTGGTACCGTTACGGCCGTGTTGCGCGTGCGCCGTCCGACAGGTGGCGCGGTCACGTGGTGTCCTTGCCCAGGGACGGAGGGGAGCGCGCACGTAACGCGTCGTCGGCCGGGCGGTATTGATACGTGCGCGCTCCCGAAGCTACTAGCTGAGCTATGGCGGAGGGGGGTGGAGAGCCGAGCCCGGTACCGGAACCCGAGGGGCAGAAGAACGAGCTGGGAGAGCTGCTGAAGACTCCGCTAAGGAAAGGGGACGAGTGGTGAGAAAAGGGCCGCGACCGGTACTCGGGAAAGAGGGGGAGGGGCACTGTGCTGTCTCATCACAGACTTGGCCGGGGGCCTTAAAGTGATAGCTCCGCCCTTAGGGGCCCCAACTGGTGGCAGGACCCTGACTGGGCACATTATGGAGGGTTCACTGGGGGCCCAGACATCTACAGGGGGATGTGACTATACACACAGGGCTCTGATTGGTCAGACAATCCTCCAATCCCTCTATCATTGAGTGGGAGGCGGAGAATGGAACATTGGCTGACAAATTCCAACCAGCCCACCTGGCACCGTCCCCTTGAATATGGCGCCTTCATCCCTATAATAATGACATGACTCGGGGGATGGGGCGATGGGTCCGATCCCTACTGTGACTGGACGCATGGCCGCCATATTGATCTGTGTTCAGTGTTGGAGGGATGTGGACGGTCATGTGATCTGTACACGGGGCCACTCATACTGGTTCCCTGACGGGTCCCCATGGACCTGGCTACCTACGGCCACACGGTCCTCATCTACTTGGCTGCCCGCGGGCCACATGGTCCCCATGTACTTGACTGCCGGGTCCACATGGTCCCCATGTACTTGGCTGCCCGGGGGCCACATGGTCCCCATGTACTTGGCTGCCCGGGGGCCACACGGTCCTCATCTACTTGGCTGCCCCATGATGCTGGCCAGAGAGACGTGAGGGCCCAGACTTCAGATGACCAATCAGTTGCTGTGGTTGTGGGAAGGGGGCGTGGTTAATTATCTTTGAGGTACCTCTCAGGACTCTGGTAGGACCACCAGGTCTCTGGACTCCGCCCCCCCTGGTGTTTCCTCCCCTGTGATGATGGAATATTCCTCCATGCTGGGCTGTGGTTGGCCAGAAATGTCCGATTCTCTGGTCAGGGGTGAATGTTTCTGTGTCGGGATCCCTCCTTAGGGCAGATCTCCGTCTGATCATTCCTCTGTAGGGAGCAGGGGGGCGACTCGCGGGGTGGCCGGGGCAG